TAGGAGAAATTTAACGGGAGAATTTAGTAATCAGTAAGAGATTATTTACTTTTTAAAACTATTTTATTAATTTTAATTATTTAATAGAAAATAACATAATCTGAAATTTCGCTTGCAACTTTAGTTTAAAAAATTATATTTTCCTCCTTTTCCTTTTGTTAATTTCTTGAATTATTTTATTGAAATATTTAGATTTGGAAATATTTTTTAGCCATTTTAAACTAATCTATTACTAAGTAATTTTAAAGTAATCCACCATTCTAAAATAAGTAATCCACTATTTTGACAAAATATTATAGATTTGAAAAATATGTAAATTTTGGATTGGTTCGTGTCTCTTTAATAAAATTTTGCTCAAGTAATTTGACATACTTGATACATCGACGAAAAGCACCACTTAAAAATAAATTTATCCATCCATTTTGAATAAATTAAGTTATTAGGTATCTTAAAATTTACTCAACAATAACAATTTTCATTTTAGAATTAAAAATATATTTAGTCACTTAAATAACGAAAGATTCTGAAATTGAAAAAAGCAACATTTAATATTAAAACTTACGAATCATGAGTCCATCGTGGTAACAATTTTAATCTTGCTCATTAAAAATAAATTTTATTTTGCTTGAGTAATTTTAATGCTTTTATAACAGAGTTTATTTTATACTAACATGCTTATTAATCTTCAAAAATCTTTTGTAAAATGCATTTAATATATTTATAAACCAAATTTCAGGCTCTAACAAAACAGTCGTTGAGATGAAATATTCGGCAAATAGTGCATTAAATGCTTTTAAAGTACAAAATAAAATGCGAAATGGGAAAGAGCTCATTTTCGAGTTAATTCAAAAGGGGAATATGTAGACTGTGTTTATAAAATAAATTGCTTTTCTTAAGAAAATTTTTGAAACATTATAAGAAAGCTCACATTTTATCTCAAAAGGTCATATAATAATAAATTATTTCCTGCTTTAAAATTTCACAAAGGATATTAAGGATATGACCCTCCCGCCGCATAGGAATATTGTCTGATATCACTTATCAAGAAAGAAAGGAAAAAAAAAATTATTTTAAAGCGATTCGAGAAAAGACCAACTTATCGAAAATTTTGAGTTCAAGAAATTCGACTCTCGAGAACGATGAACATTAGTTTAAAATAAATTTGTAACAAATGCTATTTTCTTAATGCAATCTTCTCAAAGGTTCGGTTAGTGGATTATGAAAAACCATATCACAAACATTTCTAAAGGAATTGTCTTAATTATGAAATTCCCATTTGTGGGCAAATGCCAAAAACTGCTAAACATTGATAGCTCGACAAAGGTTTGATTTTCGGTGAAGAGGCTAGTTGTAGGTAGATTAATGTGTAACATTTTGCTATTGGAGTTTTGTCTCTTCGGGAACTACAGCAAGAGCTTATTTAATTTTATTAAAACTCTCATACTCTTGCAGTTGGCAGTCTTCATAATGTTTTGAAAAACTCTATGACGGGAATTACGTGTGTCAGATCAGTTCTTAACTCAATGCTAATATTTCAATTTTAGTATAAACATATATATTTAATGGTAAAATATGAAGAAAATATGCTTTGTGTTATAATGTCTCGTATTCTTACGTAGCATACACTAACTCGACGTTTGAAGACTGGGTAGGAAATCATCCCTAAATATGACAAAGTCCAAAGAAGAATACAAAGAAACCTTTAGTAACTCAATTTAAAATTCACAGACGGCACCAACTTGTGCTTGCAAAAGCCAGCACTTTTGACTTAAAAAAAAGGTAATGAGTAACTTAAAAACTAAATGAAATTAAGTTAGCCTACCGGTTTCACAGTTTGCTTAACATGAGGCTGGCTCTGGCTCATAAAAGTGCGTAAACAAGCCTAATACAAAGAAGCGCTAAACTAAATTTGAATACTTTTGGCGCTATTATTTTATTTGCACGTAACTATTGTATCAAAAGTAACATTTCTTAACTGCTGTATATATATACTCATGCTCAAAAAGTAAGCAACAAACGCTAAAAGAAAAGGTATGTACGTGAATAGGGGAATCAAAACATACTACCTTGATAGGTATTCGCAAATGTAAATCGATAGTCAAAGCTAGCATAAAACGCAACCACACAGTTACACCACAGCGCCTTAAAAAGAGGCATACCGGACCTATAAGTCAGTTTTCAAGCAAAGAAAATTCCGTGTAATTTGAGATAGCTAAAGCGGAAATCATAAGCCGAAGACACCATTTACACAATGAAATACGTTGGAGGGCTGTCGAGATGTTGCAAGACTGTATGCTGTTGTGAGAGAGCTGAATGTTTATCGAAGTGTCATCAACAGGCTGTGGAATCGCTACCAAAAGGATGAAAAACTACTGCAGAAGACATGAGTGTGAGATGGAAGCCGGAGGATTATCACAATAACAGATGATCGCTTCCTGTTGCTATCTGCAAGACGCCGTAGATCGCTAATAGCACGACAGCCCAGCGTCGCTTTTCTATGCTACTGCAGAATCGTCCATATCCGCCAAAAGGCATCGCGTTGACTGCATGAAGATAAACTGTATTTCCGATGACATGTGGTTTTTGTCCCTCATCGCATGTCAAAGCGGTTGAATTGGACCTGTAAACATCGAAGTTGGATGCCAGAGCAATGAGGCCACGTACTCGTTACCGATGAGTTTCGATTTAACATCCAGAACGATTCCAGAAGGGTGATGGTAGTAGTACTTTGTAGTGGTGGTACTAAAGGTTTTCAATTTTTGTTTAGATGGTACGCGTTAGTCACAAGGTTGAGGAACGCTGCTATAGCATGTGTTGGATAACACATGCTACCAACACATGCTGTGTTATAGCATGTGTTGGATATATTGGGACGCCGGATGCCGCCGTGTGCCGCCAGACACCGTCCAAGAGCTCCGACATGCATTACCGCAAGAATGCGCGCTACTGCCACAACGGGAGATCAACGACACTATTGCCAACATGCTTCAAAGTTGTCAAGCATGCATTGGTAAATCGAGTTCAAGTGGCCGACCATTAGGTTAGATTATTTATCTGCCACTGGTGAAGATTTCGTAGGAGACTTTCTAAAACACTGACTCGTATTCCTATTACATATGAAGATAACCATAGAACCAGCCCATTCGCCCGGGACCAAGCCTGAGGATCGGTCACTAGTGGCAAAGGAATAAGACCGTTAAACACTGACAAATCGGGTTCCACAAGTTATCTCGGCAAACGGAATGGCTGGATGTGAGTTTCCGCAATTTTTCCCGTGTGTTACGTGAAAACAAGCCAATTTCTGTCCTCCACAAAGGCACAAATCCTCCACAAAGAATTAAGCTGTCCTCCACAAAGGCATCTCTTCCTTTAGGTGATAGGTCTAGTGTGTTCCATACAGTTCCATTACGACTGATGTGACTTTACTCACACAGCAGTTAATCGAAATTAAAATATGGTAATCTCACATTAATCATAAATTATCTAAAACTAAATTTTAGCAGTTCAAGTACAGTGAAACCTTGCTAAAGGCATCTAATTTTTTCTGTTCGTCATCAGAAAAAATATCATAAATCGGAACTCACTCCTACAGGTATCAATGTAAAATGGATTTATTCATTCCTGGAATGATTGCCTATGATAGCTTATTTAAATTTTTAAAGCAGTATCTTTCGAAAGAGCTTATAACACAAAATCCAGTGTAAATTATTAAATCTAAGACAAAAAAGATAAAAACTATCCTAAGCATATAAAATAGGATATTAATATTAATTTAATTTTACTTTGTATGTACGAAAGAGAATTGACAGCAGAAGTGGATATAGTTTTCCTATATCGAAAGAAAAATACATACATTTCCTACTTTGAGAAAATTTTACCACAGTCGATATCAACTGACGACGAAAGTATATTTTCTTGCTGGAAGTAAACATATTCTAGAGAAAATTATTTGGCACGTGTTGTCCTACAATGGAAAAGCTCCAGAACTTCGTTATAGCAAACATAATGTTAACTCAATACCACAGTTTTTGGAGTTGAAACGTTATTGTAGTTGACAGATAATATGCTAATTCATCTGAGCAACTTAATTTTTTTAATCAAAAAACAAAATAGATCCATTAAATGAAATGTATTTATTCATTAAATTGTGAAATCTAATGAGGTGTTATTAATTTATGACTAAATATAGAAAATTCTGCATCTTATGCAATATAGAAGATAAAGAAATTTAATGAAGCATATCATTTTAATTTGTCTCTACCAATAACCTTCTTTCTTGCATTGCAAAATAGCATGCTAATCAATCAACATTGCTAAAGTACTGAGTTTGAAGCCTATTTTGCCAATCCTAGCGATTTTATTCTACTTATTCTACTACAAATAAATCATTTTATTCTACTACAAATAAATCAGTTTTATTCATTATGAAACTTTTTAATCTTTTTCAAAACCACGTATAATCTTTTAATGTTAATGAAATGTATTACAAATAAATGATTTGAAACATTCTTATAGGCATTTCGAAAGCTTGGGCCATAATCAAGTTGGGTAAATAAATTAAGAGCAACACGCAAATATGAAATTATGCGTAAAAATAAAATCGCTTTAAATATGACACTGCATTAAAATATAAAGACATAATTTAAACTGATATTAATGCATAAAGGTAAACAATATGGAATTTGCCCAAATGCTTTAAAAGGTTTCGACAAGTGGATAAAAATAAGAGATAAAATACACTTTACGTTACCAATATTGGTAATTTCTTTTCTGTTTTAACTATAATAATGAAGAATTTTGCGTAATTTCGTTTGTAATTCTCTTACAAATCGAAAATTATATCAAATTCAGGATCCTTAGAAGTAGTAAGTAGCCAGTTGATGATTTTTTTTTATTCTAAAATATTCAAACTTCTTTAAATTATATATTACGTATAGCAAAAATTTTAAAAAGTATATTAAAATGTTTTAAGAAAATACATAAGCGAAAGGAAAACTTACCTAGCATTTTGATCACATCTTTTCTAGATGAAGTCGAGCTTTTACGGCAGACTGTCTTCCCAGGGGCATTCAACACTTTTCCTTGAGGCTTTGATGTACCATTGACGTTCGGGAGACACCGGCCATCATGTTTGCGACCCATGTCGGTTGGCTTTCTCAGCTGAAGACCTATCAGTGCATATAGTACGCACAGCAAAGTGCCCGGAAAAAAGAAGAACAAGCCGATAGACCATTCGAAAGCATGGTCTAAGCTGCGCTTCACAGAACAGGTAGCAGTGTCCAGGACATCTTGCCCAAGAGTATCTTTCTCATAAATGATGCCTAGTTGGTACCCCATGCTAATAGCAGACAGTGCAGCACATATCCAAATGGCGATAATGAATTTAATAGCTCTGGACAGTCTGGACATCGTATGGGCTCTTAATGGATGACATATAGCCAAATATCTTTCAACGGTAAAAGCTGTGATAGTTAAAATGGAAGCATTGGTAGATGTTTCTGAGCTCCATCCTCGTATGATGCAGAAAGCTTCTCCAAATATGTATGGATATCTGGACCACAAGTGATATATTTCCTGTGGAAGTCCAAGTACTAGAAGCAAAAGATCGCTTACTGCCAAGCTAAATAAGTAATAATTGGTCGCTGTGTGCATGTACCGGTTTCTGGCTATGACGATACATGTGCAGATGTTGCCAACGATTCCAGTGATCAAGATGACCATATAGACAATGGTCATGGGAACGGCGTATGGATCTTGACGGTCACCCATTAGGCTCCAATCGAAGGAACTATTTGTTCCGTTAGGAACTGTCACAATTAGATCGTCCATGCTGAAGTTCTTCCTCATACAATCCAAAACATTTATATTTGGATCATTTGGATTACATAACGTTATACTCGTCTCTAAACTTTCACTCATTAAAATATAACTGCTGGATATATTCGTGTCTTCACTCTCATTTAAATCAATGACAGCCATTGTAAACTGTATCCACTAATGAATAATGTATAAAGATTATTTAATACATTCAATATTTCAAATTAGATATCAGTGCATACATAGCATTTAAATTCAAAATTCTGCCGCCTATTCAGAGAGGTGGTATGATAATTAAGCTTTAAACATCAGTTTCTGTTAGAACTTCCCGAAAATGGCCTTCCATTACACTTACATTCCAGGTATCACACAGTTGAAGACAAATATATAAATAAATAAATATCACAGCTAGCAACAACACGTTGACGGATACATTAATAGTTAAAGCTTCTTTATGATAAACATTCAAGTATTATAAATAGAAGAGCGTATGAAAATTTTAAAAGACTTTAAATATAGCAAGATTTAAATAAAAATATCTGTACAGTTTCAAAATAATGAATATTAATCTCAGTTTGTAAAATCTGTAATTGGAATAAAAACACAATAATAGCAGCAGAGCAATAAAAACAAGTCTTATGTTAACACGAAGTTTAGAGTTTAAGAACACGACAACTTTAAAAGATATTAATTAATAAATATAATTTTTAAACGGTTAAAAGCATGTCAGGCTTAGATCATTATCTTGAAAGAGTCAAAATAAGTACCTCAAGTTCGTAAGAACATTATCTCAGTTATTTTAAGAATGTTGTTTATAACGTCTGGAATGTTAGTCGCTTTTTTACGTCCTTAATCCTACCAGACGATAAGCTAAGTTCGGAAATCCAAATGAGTTTCGGTAATGCAGTTTTTCTTTCTCACGTCAAATGTTCGAAGTTCAAGCACTTCCGCTTCTTAATAAAATGTTCTTATTCACGAGATATAAACAAAGCACAGAGGGTCAAATTATTCCGGCGTTATCGGATATATAGCTGTCAAAGAATAAAAACTATCATCTGCTTCCACATTTTTGCAGTGAGAAAGAGTTATTCATACTCTTTTACATGGGGTTTTGGAATAGAAGAATAACTACCGAAAAAAGGTATTGCAAAAAATATGGAACGCTCTCTCTTCGTCGTCCTCCTTCATGGACGACGATGACCGCAGCCAAACATTGCTCACCGAGTGGATGTCGCGTTCTGACTCCGCGCTCTAACCCTGGAGCACATGGTCCTCCGGCAGACTGAAGTGATTGGTCGTTCATTCGCGACGTCAAAATATCACGTGCTGCATAAGAATCGTCGGTTCGTCCATCGGAATCTTCGCGTTTGTACTCGAGACAGCCTGATTCGACCACGATTGCTTCCGTAATTTTTGAAAAAGCGATGACATATGACGTTAACTTTTCCCTTTTTTCCTACTGATATTTCAACAAATGCAATTTCTATGCATGGCAATCAAATAGAAAAAGGATTTTAGTTTCATTTTCATTTACTAATTGGAAACTAAAGAGTTGTTATTCCTCCTATTCACAAAAACGTTATCGACAATTGAATTATTATGATGTTAATAAAATAGAAAATAAGAGTTGGATTATTATGATGTTAATGAAATAGAAAAAAAGAGTTGGATTATTATGAGGGTAATAAAACTGATAAGAAAATAATATATATAATTGTGTGCAAAAGATGTATATATCTACACTGAATCTATAAAAAAAAATTAAGACCAATACATTCAAACTGGTAAATGCCAATATAAAAGTGTTAAATAAAATTGTTTCTTTAAACCACTGAACTTGTCCATATCACTTTTCAAATTCTTGCCACCGACTGTTGCCGCGATGTATTATTTAAAAAAAAAAAAAGAAAAAAAAAAACCGCTTGTCGTTAATCAACGCAAAATGCCAAAACGAAATTAATAGTCCCTTCTGGGCAAATTGCCCCCTTGAACTAAAGAAGAAAAAAAATTCTGAAAATTTTCAGATTATGTATTACACTCAAAGGGGCTTTTTCTAACGTATTGAGTGTTACCTTTATTTATTAGATATCACGTTCTTCGCATTTAAACCATAAGATTCAATTCAACAGCAAAATCACAAAATAATTTGAAAAGAGCATGTATTTAAAATTTCCGATACGCAGTCTCGCGAGCTGAAGATTTTTGATTTTTTTTTTTTCCTTTTTCCGTAAGGTTGTCATTGCTTGCTTTGAAATCTTTGAGTTTGCTAATCAAAAATTCGTTAAAGTTTCACAAAATACGAAATCGATAATAAAACAAATTCCAAATTTCAATTTGGGCTTCCAGATACCCATAGTCGCAGGAGAATTACGTTATTCAAAATTTGATGGCTCGAGGTACTATTGATTTAATCACAATGCGAGAAACATACCTACATTTAGGCAGATTCTTCATTATTTAATTTCTTCAAATATAATACAGGGCGATAATATTTGGTGGCAACAATTTGAAATCTGAAACAACCCTTGTAGTGAATCAACGCAAAATGCGAAAACGAAATTAATAATCTTTCTAGGCAAATAGCCCCTTTGAACTTAAAAAAAAAAAAAAAAAAAATCTATAAGCTTACAGATTTTACATTACGCCCAAAAGGGTGTTTTTTAAACGTCTTCGGTGTCACCTTTATTTATTAAATACCATGTCCTTGACACTTAACCACAAAATTCAATTCAATAGCAATATCGCAAAATAGTTATAAATTGAGCATATCTTTGGAATTTCCAAAACACAGTCTCACGCGCTGGAGATAAAAATGTTTTCTTCTGTACAACGTTGCCATTGCTCGCTTTGAAATCCTTGAATTTATTAATCAAAAATTTGTTAAATATTTACAAAATATAAAATCGATAAGAAAACAAATTTCGAATTCCAAATTTGGGCTTCCACATGCCCATATTCACAGTAGGATTACGTCCTTCAAAATTCGATGGCTCTATGTACCATTGTTTTATCACAATGCGAGGAATATACATATATTTATGCAAATTTTTCATTATTTAATTTCTTCAAATATAATGCAGGACTTTAAAATTTGGTGGCAACAATCTGAAAAGTGAAACGGACATTTATAGTGAACCAACGCAAAATCGCAAAACGAAAACAACAGGGACAAAGCCCCTTTAGATTAAAAATCAATAAAAATGTACCTATTACATATAAAACATTACAATGAAATAAGCAATACCCCTTAAAAATATTAATTATCCTAATAAATAAATTAACTTCCCGTTGCCTTCTCTTGACAAACGTCCAGTATCCAAGAGAAACATTAAATTTGAATACTGCACAGAATTATCGCCCTCATTTTTCCGAGTGGAAACAGTGGTGTTACCAACAACAATAGCAGCAATGAGATATCAGCAGCAATGGCTGCGTGCCATTGTTGCTGATATAATGAAAGAGAATTGTCGAGTTGATGCGATTTCATTAAAAAACATAAGAGAACTCATTCGAATTTTGAAAAAAAAATCGCTTCGAGGTGCACTGGCTCTTCTCTAGATGCAACTATATACCAAATTTCGTAGTCCTGGGTCTATTAGCTTGCGCGCAGCACGAACGAAAGACACATACACAGAGTCTTCCTTTTATTATATATACAGATTTAGTACGAATTTTTATTGAATAAACTTGGAGATTTGAAATCAAGAGTTGGCAATACTAAGCTGTTCAAGCTGGTATTATAAAATTATTTGAGTCATTTTATGAATGCAAATTGAGAAATAACAGAATACAGCAAGAAGGAAATGGAAATCAGATGGTGCCAGCCTTCAGAATTAGAACATAAATATTTATCATATCTTAAGGTGGTGAGTTAGCACAAGAACACAAAGTAAACAGCTAGCAGATATAACAACTGAGAAGATTTAGTACCGCAAAACGCAAAATATTTATAGTAATATAAGTTACTCTCGAAAATGTCCTCAAAAATATAGAAAATAATGAACAGTTTATCCACAGATTTTTCGACTGCGCAGATCTTCGACAATCTAGCGGATATTTCCTTGATTACACCTAATTATTGGAAACATTAAAATGTTTGACTAATTTCCTTGATTGCCTAAAAATTTGAAAAAAGGGGATTTAAGCATTAGCATAGGCACTGCTTGCGTAATTATTTTTGGGGATTTTTTTTTTTTTTATTTTGAGCTTCTTGGGAATACAGCCTGCTACTAGGAAGAACTATGGCATCCAAAATATCTTTAATCAAAATCCAGTTAACAATGGTGGTTTACCTATTTTTAAATTTAATGATAAGGTTAAATTTTTTTAGTCATTTTTGCTGAGTAATAGAGAGAAATTATGAACAACTTCTAAAGTTTGCACTTCTAAAGTCATGTCTAGAATGCTGATAGTTGCAACACTTCACACTTACAATTTCAACCTTTTCAATCAACAGTCAAACCTTCTGAGGGCTCAAGCAGACTTCACGCACCTGGTTTTAATCTTGTAACTTTTCGAACGAGTAATTAAATAATTGGCAATTATGACACTGATACATCTCTTTATCTGGTATGAAGTAACAGAAATATTAAATTGCATGGATGTAGAAACATCATAAATGGTTTCCACTCTTAGCTAATTAGCCAGTTGGAGTAGTAGCATATAATAGTAAAGGAATGGGCAGGGCCATCTTAAAGCATGGGCACACCGAACACATGTCCGAGGACCCCACAAACATAGGGACCTTCTGCTAGTCCATTTATATTTAAATTGTATATACATATTTTTGTCTGCATACAAGTTCGATATCGATTGAATGCATACAAAACCTAGCTTGATAAAATTTATTTTATCAAAACAAACACATCTTATTTTTGAACATTCACAAAAATTGTCGTGCAGCTCTTTCCAATTTTACACTATATAATTAGTAGTTACACTTAAAACTACAAAGAACTTTAATTACAAAGCAGTGCAAAGTGCATCTAAAGAGCGAAGCTCACACGGAGATATCTCAATACTCCGAACCCACGCTGAACTAAACAACAACTGAATTGATGCCCGCCCTGGTCTTATATAGTTCTCTCCGGCAGCTGAGAAATCACTACGACCTCCCATTTCTCGAAATTACTATAATACATATGAGCGCCGGATACGGTTACAATTACATAGAGAATCAATTACAATACCCATTACAGTTATACAGAGACAGGACCCAAATGTTGCCAAATGGTCGTCGAGTTTGGCGACTTTTGATAATTTTTGCCCCAAAGTCACTCTACATATCCTTAATCACATTTGCATTACAATCATTATCAACAGGCAAGGAACTGAATTTATTACTAACAGGTAAATCTACATTACACTTCACATTTATTTTAGTAAGTCTGGACTATTTCCTAGAACTGAAGTCTTTCTTATCCAATTTATCGTTTTCATTTATTTCACGCTTTTAAAGTTTTTTAGAGTTTTAGTCGTTTTGATAGAATTAGAATTAACTTGGTTTGCATAGGTTGTATTATCATTTTCAGAATCGTTATTACTAGAGTTACAGCATGTATTTACATTTTCAATAATCTTTGAAGAATAGATAATGTAAGCAAAATTACTATTTGCATTATAATTGACACATTTTTATAATTAAAAACAATGCCTTTAATCTTTTCCCGCGTAGCTCGATCTTGGATTTATTTGGTAATTAAATCCTTTTCAGCTAGGGTTTGGGCACCAAAAAAATTTACACTTACGTCTCATAATCTTCACAACTTTGTCAGATGCCAGGAACTTCTCGAATATTTCAGCGTGGTAGTATAATCTAAAATTTTTTTTAACTCATTAGACAGATAAATTCTGTAGTCTTTGACCACCAGGCTTAGTTTAACGTTTGAATTTGACTATTACTTTAAGTTGCATCGCTACAAGTGGCGGTTGATTACATAAGCACGAGACTTGCATTTTATATTCAAGTTCTGATTTAATAAAAATGTTATTTTAATCTCTTCAAGTATCTGTAGTTAAGCTTATACCAAGCGATAATTCTCTAAACGTATGTTAGGGTTTGATACTAGTTTATGCTACCAAAGAAGGTCAAACTCTTTACCTCTTTTCTTAGACTCTTAATCCTACTTAAAACTGCTTTAGTTTATATATTCTGGAATTCACCATACAGTAGGAATTTAAAAACATGTTTTTAACATAAGCGAAATGTGTTAAATGTGAAGACAAGATGTTACAAAGATA